CATGTTTCACAAAGACCATGCCTGCCTAATTCATTTGTGTACTCAACCCCATTTAAGTCTTGCCCTCATCCTTCTTTATCACCATCCCTTACACATAGTGTACTCAATAACACTGGTGAACAAATATTTCTGGCACAATAAATAGCTGCTAAGACCTAAAAGACTCATTGTTTCTGGTACCTAAAACAGCAGCTGTTTTATCTGGATCCATTTTCTTCACTGTTGGATTCTGTTTGTTACTTTTTGCTTTTGTCCTCCTCTATTCCTCTAGCTAGCTTTTCTTTTCTTCTTTTTTAAAAATTAGCTATTTCTTGTGAAGTCTTCTCTTTGCTGTATTAATTTTTAATCTCTACCGGTTTTTGTTTTGTTTTGTTTTGTTTTCTCTTTTCTGGTTTTTGTCATTGTAGAAATTACCAGGTAATGAGATTCGTCCTTTCCTAAGTGAATAAAATTTTGTGCTTCCTTTTCCTGATACTCCTCAGGAGTTGCTTATTCACAGCCAGTCCTTTGTTATTTATTTGGAAATTGTTCTTTGAGATCATAGCATAATTAAGTAATTATAAAAATATAATTCAATTCTTTATATTTCTTTAGTTCTGTGCTGCTTCTTAACACTGTATAGACTTAAATTTCACATTTGGGTAATCATAGGTTTTTTCATTTGAATATGTCACCAGAGCTAGGAATATATTTTAAGCCCAGCCTCTAAATAATGAGAAAACTTGTAAGAAGGGTTTTTCCCAGATTAGTTTTTAAACATTTGGTGCTAAACATTCATAGACAGATACCTACATAGGTACATAAAAAAATTAGAGTAAGCTGGGTGCCAGTGCTTCACACCTATAATCCTAGCTACTCAGGAAGCAGAGATAAAGAGGATCGAAACCAGCCCTGGCAAATAGTTTTGAGAGACCCTATCTCAAAAAATCCCATCACAAATAAGGGCTGGTGGAGTGGCTCAGGGTGTAAGCCGAGTTCAACCCCAGTGCGACCACATACATGCACCCAAAAAAAAAAAAAAAATTGACTATTGGCGTAGGCCAATGTAAGCATAGAAAAGACTGATTTTTATTCATTCATAAGATTTTTTTTCCACACTCAGTTTATTTGGATATTTACTGAATATTTGCTGTCTTTCCTTTAGCAACACTATATATTTTATAATTAAGATAGTAATTAGGTAATTATTCAGAGTGATATTATCTCAATATTTGCTGTAAGCAGTTGTATTTTCTAGTCCATTAGTGGTTATTAGCTGATTGTATAATCAAAGAAACACCTATCTTCCTAATCCTTTGGACATGTTATTTAACATGGTTGTTCTGAAAATGTGAAAGGAATTTAAACCGTAGATGTGCTGAATATTTGAGGGTTAAGTCTTCAGATGGAACTCCTTTTTACACAGTTGATGTATGTATAGAAGGAATTGGAGAACTAGGAGAACACTTGTTTTCTTAGTTTTAGGTCATTTGATCAGTGGCTGGTCTATGTAGAGAGTAGTAATGGATCAGTCAAAACTGTCATGTGAAAGAAGGTTAAGAGGCCTACATCTTTATGAGTCACTTCATACTTACAGAAAAGCTAAAATATAATGCAAAGAATTTCTATATATCCTTCATCCAGATTTCCCAAATGTTAATACACTTTTCCTTGGTTTCCTCTCTCCCTACATATAGATATATATATACTAGATTTTTTTTGAGTAACTTGAGAGTAAGCTACAAACATAATACCTCTTTAAATACTTAAAGATGTATATCTGAAAATCAAAGTCTTTCTCTTATTCACAATCATAACATCATTATCAAAATCAGAACAGTTTTTAATTAAACAAATATTTGTTCTATTATGGACAAAGTGTAGTTGGAAAGTTTAGTCTTGCAAAGCTATTTCTGATGCTTAAGATAATTATATAGTCTCTTTAATGAGTAAAACAATACAGAATATCACTGCATTTTTGCGATAAGAGCAGTGGCATAACAGAGTAACATAAATACACAAAAAAGTACTGGGGAAACATGAAAAAGCAATCATTTTAGCCCACAGAATCAGGGAAATACTTCTTGGTTGGTGCAAAGTAACCCAAGATGGGTGAAAGTTCTCTGCAGAAGGACAGTGGAAGAATATTCACTTCCCAGAATACATCTCTTATTTTTTGCCATTGACACTGAAAATTCTGAGAATGAATATATTATTGCAGTTCCTCAGTACTGAAATTTCTGGAATGCGTAAGATAGGGCAGGTTCTAGTTCTATAAAAGTTGCAGCAGTACTTTTTCACCTAATTAACAGATTTTAAGCTTAACATTATTGGGCTATTAATTACAAATTGGTTTTCCTTTTGATGAACTTGTCCTTAGGTTGTTTTTCATTAATATCTTCTTGATTATGAAAGCCAAAAAGTAATGGCATTCATTAGCTGTAATTACTTTAAAGGAATGGAAGGAATGTTTATAAAAACTTAATTAAGCCACTGTCAATCTAGAGTTTAAGGAATAGTTACTCTCTTACATTATTAGCATTTATATATTAAATGTTGTATGTGGAAGCTGATTTTGCACTTACATAGTTATTCTGAAATAATCCAGAAAGGTTGTACAAGGAGGTACTTTGATATGTCATTTTCAAACTTTGCCAGTTTAAGGTAAGGAATGAAGTAGACAATAAAAAGATGGTAGGAATTTTTTGAAAATCCTTTTCTGAAAATTGCTTGTGCATAGTTGAGTTTATTAGAATAAGGTTTGTAATGCCAAACCATGTCTGTGTGGAAAGTTACAGAACAGTTAAGTAAGTCTTTATTTCTTGAGCAGATATTTAAAATTTTTGCTTTAAGTTATATGAATGTTAGATGTTGATTTTTAGTTTTTCATTTTTGTTATTTTGCATTCACATATACATCCAGATGACGTTTTAGAGTGTAAATAATATGATCTGTTGGTAAGGGAATTTTGATAATGGAGTTTTTGACTATAGCAAAATTGGAAAGATGATACTTCTTGATCTCTGGTTAAAAATTAAAAGTAGGGAAATTTTTAGGTCTTTGTCTTAGTATCTAGTTTCTTAATTGCTTTTCTTTTTAGGAATAAATTCATTTTGATGGCAACATACTAAAAGGGCTGTGATTTATAGGATTTTTCATTATAATACAAAATTTCTCATGTGATTTTTGAATTATTGAGTCTGGTGTTGGGTGCCTTTGAATAATATCCTTTTCTTTTTTTCCTGAAATTTTCAGTGGTAAGTGTTTAGAGGCAGAAAGCCTATGGAGATATCATCTGGCAGTTGTACAATTACGAAACAGCATAGGTAAACAGGCCAATGTTTACCCACATTCTTTAGTATCCAGTGATGTCATAATTTTTAGTAACTCTTCTTATGGCAGTTTTTCTGCTGCTTTGTGTTCTTCTGATGACCATATGTAAAGTTCAAGGATGACGTTTGTAAGAATTAAAATATAGCATTGAGAACTGTTATCTTGGAAATCTTTATGAATTTTTGATTCCTAACAGTATACTGATCGTACATTTCTGATTTGGCTATTATTAAAGATGTATATAATATTTCAGAGGAATCTTCTTACCACATGGAACAGAGGACCGTTCCCAGGCATAGTTAAGTACACCCAAAAAAGTATGTCTCCAAATCTTAATATATTCTATTTTTATCACAATGCTCAAATTTTTTGAACGAAAGTACCATAATTACTTAATCAGCTCACATTTTTTATTAAATTGTTTTTATTTTAAAAACAATATGTATTCAAGTGAATATTTGTATTTAAAAATAAATATTTGTTTTCTAAATTATTTCCTTAAATTTTAGATTGGGAATGAGATTACTGGACCAGAAACTATGATTATTGTGTTCAGATGATTTTTAAGTGCTATATCAGTATGTGCATATCACTTTTACAGAAGCAGATTGAATAGTTGAATTTTAGATTATAATATAAAGGAAACTTAATTCAGAATAAAATGACAGTTTCTGTTATTTCCTGGTACTCATGAAAGAAGGTAGCTAAAAATACCCTGAAAGACCTTTAAGCCCAAATGTCTGTGCATTGAGTAAGCTTTTGTCTCATATGTCTAGAGGGGCTCTGTTAGGTATTATTTGGGGAAAATCAAGACATAGTCACTCAAATTGTTTGTAATATCCTTACATGGTTTTTGAACCATGTATTCACTTGAGCGAGATCTTTTTTCCACATTTTTATCATCTTTTTAAAAGGAGATATAATCTATCTTGATAATGTTTAAAGCATGTAGCACTAATCATTACTATCCACCAACCTTGCTTTCAAGTTTGACTTTAGTTCCTACTCTATAAAGTACTTATAGAAGTTAACTTTTTTTACACCTTGAACCACTCCACCAGCTCTTTTTTGTGATGGGTTTTTTGGAGATAGGGTCTCTGTTTGCCTGGGCTGGCTTTAAACCATGATTCTCCTGATTTCTGACTCCTGAGTAGCTAGGATTATAGGCATGAGCCACTAGCACCCAGCTAGAAGTCATCTTTTACTAATACAACTACTGCATTGCTAAAATGTTCACTTTATAGGAGTACAGTATAATGTAAGGAATAAAAATACAAGGTCTAAAGTCACAAATTGCCTGGATTGGAATTTCAACTCTAGCACTTACTGTGTGATATCGGGCAAATTATTTATCCAGTTGTTTCTCGAGTATAAAGTGAGGTTGTCATAGCAATAACAATTAAATGGGGTTATATTTATAGGTGCTTAGCATATTTCCTGACACATTATAAGCATCAATGAATGTTTTCAATAGTTATTATTATATAATTGTTATTTGTTATTTCAAAAAGTAGCGGCTTAAAATACCAATAAATTATTATTTTCTGTTTCTGGGATCCAGTAGTTCAGGAGTAGCTTAGGTGGGTGGTCCTGTTTGGTGTCTCTAAAAATTGCAGTTCAGATTTAGCATGGGCAAAGGACATCTGAGAGTTATTTTGAAGCTGATGGTTATAAACTGTGTTTTGCAGACTATGTCTTCTGCGGTGGTACAGTTATATGCAGCAGATCGGAACTGTATGTGGTCAAAGAAATGCAGTGGTGTTGCTTGTCTTGTTAAGGACAATCCACAGAGATCTTATTTTTTAAGAATATTTGACATTAAGGTGAGTTTTTTTTTTGTGCTTTCATTCTAAACTACAGGTGGTTAGGTTTTCTACCTCATTTATAATTTAATATGTGTTTATCCTGTGTGTCATATTTAAAATGAGTATCAGAAAAGTGAAGCTTGGTTTTGGATATTGAAGTATGGATATTGGTATCATATGAGAATATATACTACGCCCAAACAAGAATACTGTAGTCTCCTCTTACCTACTCCAGTTTTGCTTTCTGTGGTTTTTGTTATCTGTGGTCAGCCATGATTGCAAAATATTAAATAGAAAATTTCTGAAATAAACTGTTCATAAGTTCTGGATAACTTTTTCTATAGTGTTATAATTATTGTTTTATCAGTTAGTTATTGTACTTAACTTGTAAATTAAACTTTTCATGAGTATGCTTGACAATATATATCAAGTTCAGTATGAGCCTGGGTTTTAAATATCCATAGAATGTCTTAGAATGTAGTTCTGTATCTTATCTCTTCTCTGCTATTATTCATTAAAGAAATATATTTAATTATGCCTTTTGATTTAAATGTTCCCCACATTCTCTTTTCTTACTAATACTTTTCTATCCATCTTGCTTATATAGAGTAGCATATATTAGTCCTTTCAAGGAACAGCAAAAGAATATTTTAACTTTGTACCATTATTTACTTTAGCCCAGGTTTAAAACGTAGATTATCTATAAAAGTATATTTTCTATCCATTTTTTGTTGTGCTCTTTAGATTTTTATAGCTTCATGTCCCTTGCTCAGTTATAAATCCACCTTGTTAGAGATTGGATGCCCTTTGTAAAATATTCATCTCTTATAGTTGCCATAAAAGTAATTATCATTTTGCTAATGTGAAGTCTCCATTATATCTTTTAAAATCTTTTTGTAGGTAGGCTTCCATGGTTAACATTTTATGTGTGGCAATAAGTGTAATCAGAAATTAATTACAAAAAATGAAAACTGGCATTGAACTTGGCACTAATGGGATCTGATAGGTCATAGTCAACCATTTTTACGTGGGTTGCAACTTCTTTATTTGTAAAATGGGATAACTGTGGGCCTGTTACAAAGTGTTTCATTGAGATTAAATGATATCTAAGTTATTTTATTTTCTAAATTGGTGCTTCTTAGTTTCCTTCCGCCTACCCTAAGACAACTGAGAGGTGTGGCATGCTTATATTACTAACAGTGGCTTTACTATGGTAGTAGTTCTGGGAGATGGGGAACACATCCATATTTTGAAAGAAACCTTTAAATTCCTTAATGTGAGAAGCACCATTTAGAAATAGAATAACACTCTGCTCCATTAGAAATAAAGGAATTACATTGTAATAGCCATAATGTACGTATAGTGTATTTTGCATAGCTTAAATTTGTGGTTTAGGTAAAATCTTGCATTTCAGGATAAGGCAATGATTATGTTTCCCTAACCACTTAGTTCCAGTTGAACATAACCATTGCTGACCACTCATAATTAGCCACCTTTAATACAAAGATTAAATATATTTCTTATACTATGGCTATAGATAATGGCACTCATGTATATGACTTTTCTGTAGTTTAACCTTTTGAGGCATTTTAGTCATTAGTCTCTTTCTGCAGCATGACTGATAGTACTTACCAAGTATCTAATTAGGAGGTCACTCTGGAAAAATTAAGAATTTGAAAGTTGTTAATGAGCAGTAAGGGGAAGATACTCAGTCCTCCCACATCCGTGGGAAAAAAGCATGAAATATTCCTTCAATGTTTGATACTACATAGCCTGAATGTTACTGATGGATATATGCATTGATAATCAGTGCATATCCTACTCCTATGTAACACTGATAATTTAGTAATTACCCCAGTTATGTATTTGGCCAAGTAACTGTACTTGGAGATGCTAAACCAATGAAATTACATTAGTCTACTGAATTAAGCTCACTTGCTACATAGGCTTTATGAAAGAAACATTATCCAGTGTTTACCGTTTAGCTATTAAATCATTAAATTATGTGATATTGTATAATTACATATATATAATATATCTGGTATAATTTGTGTTAATATAAACAGTTCTCTTAATATGAGTCATCTGTTTTGTTTTATTCCTTGAGATTTTTTATTAGCTCTTATTTGAATTTTTTTTCTTCTAGGATGGGAAACTATTGTGGGAACAAGAGCTATACAATAACTTTGTATATAATAGTCCTAGAGGATATTTTCATACATTTGCTGGAGATGTAAGTCATATTTTCCTTTATTGCTGTGTTTACTTTTTCATTGATTACCTTTTCTATTCCAAATTTATTTATAGAGCCACATTGAAAGGTCAAACCCAGCTTACTATTTGATTTTTGGCTGAAGATAAAGTATTTGGTTTATTATTCATGTTTCTATTATTAGGTAACTTTTCTAATAGTAATCTTCTGCTTTACCTTCTCCATGTTTTTTGCCTCCTTAAGTTATTCAGATCATGAAATATTTTCTTGTCTGTTAGGAAAGTCAGCCTTTTCTCCTTTAGAAATGTACTCGTATTGGTCATCATAATTTTTGTTACACATTGCTAAATTCATGCATTTTGTTGTTTCTCTTTTGATGAAAATATTTCAGACTTGTCAAGTTGCTCTTAATTTTGCCAATGAAGAGGAAGCAAAAAAATTCCGAAAAGCAGTTACAGACCTGTTGGGCCGGCGACAAAGGAAGTCTGGTAACCTCCCTCTCCTCCCTTTTTCCTTTTTGTGCATAAAATAGGCCAGCAAACTCCAGCTAATGGGACAGATGTGGTTCATTGGCTGTGATTGTATATAAAATGTTTTTGAAGCCAGCTCTCTTCATTGATTTATATATTATCTGTAGCTACTTTTTTGCCACAACATGATTGAATAGTTAACAACAGAGACCATATGACCCTCAAAGCCTAAAATATTTACTATCTAGTCCTTTCCAAAAAATGTTTGGTGATCCTTACCTCAAAAGAAATAATATTTGTATTGAGAACCTATTTTTTCAGCTTACTGAAGAACTTATTCCAGTAACCATCTTTGTTGATAAAATTGCGTGTATACTGATTCTTAAATTTCCTTTATCATTGGCATTGTTTGTGACTAAAATTTCTTAAATGACTTTATCCTTTGTAAACAAATACTTTAGGCAAGCTTAGAAACAAATAGGCACATATGCAAGCAATGTCTATAAACATGACCTTATCTCTTTTTTGACCCTCATGTATATTGTAAAACTATAAGGAACTTATTGTAGTACATGAAATAACTGCACATACATAAAACAATTAGAAAATGATTCAGGATAGTGTAGAATTTGAAAGTTTATTGGCATAGAGCTATAGTTTGACAAATGTACTTGATCTTGCTCTGTAAAGTAGAGATTATTAGGAAAGGTGAACCTCTCCAAGATCATCATCTTAAGCAGTCAGTTTTAGGAGGGTCTCATGGGAGACTGGCAATGTATCCCTCAAAACTTGCCCTACCCTTACACTTTTTGAAAAGATTTTCTGTACTTCCAGAGGTACACTTTACCCCAGTTTGAAGACCATTGTATTCAGTCTTTTTACTGATAAGAGATAATAAACCAAGACAGAGGAAGACACTGGATCTGTAAATAGCAGTGGCAAAGCACAGGTTCCATCTCATACATCTTTATTGTTTAGCGGGTTCCAAGAGGGAGGTAAGGTAAAAATGGAAACAAAGTGAACCAGGTTGTTGCCTCACTTTATTGCCATCTTATTTTATTCTACTTGCGATGCATGAATAGAATTATTAGGGACTTGATGCATTTTACTGCTTTTGGGGGCCAAGAACAGTATCAGTTGATGCCAGAAAGTATTTAATGCTATGATACAGAAACCTCAACTTAGAAATCACATTTCAGTGTGTATTTTTTAGTACCATTCTGTGGTGCTAGGCAAGGGGCTGTCTGGTGTGTATTCTTTAAAAAAAAAAAAATTGTGATTAGGGAGTCATTGTTGGGTAGCTCTTCATGCTGAGTCAGACTCCATCTTCACCTTTTTTTATGTTAGGCACACATGCTCCAATTTGTGTGGCGATGAGTCTATTTTCTTTTCCTTGGTATAGCTTGGAGCCCCCTACTACAGTCTCTTAAATGCTTTCTCTTCTTTAGTCTAACAGTGTCTTGAAATATTCCTCTGATAATAGTTTATAAACTATAATCATTCTGAGTACTGTGCTCTGCATCCATCAGTGTTTGTCAAAATACTGTGTTAAGATTGAAGCTTAATACTTCAAATGTAGTCTGCTTAGTCCTTTCCTACTAAAGCATCCCTAAATTTTGAATAAACACTGTTCTGTTAATGTTTCTCACAGATGCTTCACAACATTAGTTAACGTTATGTTTTGTTCAAACAAATCTCCCTCTTTTTCACATGAATGGCTCTTAAAAGAGCATTATGTCCTATAAGTAATTGTTCCTTAGAGTTTACTCTCTGAACTTTTTTATTTATCTCAGTTTATTTCTATGTTGTGTCACCCACCAACTTAAGAAATATTTTCTCTATATATGTAACATCTCCTTAAAAATTGGGTATTGACACAGGGAGGAACTTGTTTACTTAGTTTCAGAAAGTCCTCAGATCACTAGATGGAGCCATAAATTTATATTTCCCATTACTAGGATTTTTAAATTTTCCACCAATTAACTCCTATTGATTTTTGGTTATTTAGAAACTAATTATTACATTAGTTATTTATGGGTATTTCTCTTATAATTTCTAATTTTCTCTTAAAATTTCTAATTTTATTAGAAAATCTGGTAAGTTTATTTGTTTAAAGTTCTTCAACCACTTTCATTTTTTTTCCTTTTTCTTTTTGAGTGGTACTGGGGTTTGAACTTAGGGCCTTGTGCGTGCTAGGCAGGTGCTGTACACTTGAGCCACACTCATCACAGCCCTTTGAACTTTTTTAAAGTTAAAATAATGTATTCCTCTGAGTAAACCTGCCATGTAAAAGTATTACTGCAAAGAATTGATTCTGATTTTTTTCTCCTCCTTAATTGGCTGTAGCTTTTCAGTATTTTTCTAGTCTGTTGCAGAGCTTGATACACTAATGATTCCCAAAATTCTGTCTTTTAACACTTACCTCTCTTCTGACCGTCAGACTATCTCAAGATAGATGTGAGAATAGCCTTCAGACTTAATGTGTCTGAGCATGATCTGTGTCCCTTATTGGAATCCCAAACCCTCTCCCCTCTACTCAGAAGACCCGATCCTACTGGTCTGCTCCTCTTTGCTGTCTCAGTAAAAGGCATCTGCTCCACCTTGTCACTTAGGTTCACCATGGTCCCACATAATCCTAAGTATGTTCTACATCTGATCATTTCTAGCCACTCTGCTGCTATTAGCCTAATCTAAGTCACATTCATGTCATCTGGACTACCATCCTAGTTCTTAGATAGTCTCCCTGCTGCTATCTCTTTTCCACACAGTAATCAGAATAAACTTTTAAACATAGAGTAGATCATGTCACTTGCCCTGAGAGCTTCCTGTAATGTACAGAATAAAATCTGTAATCCTTGACCTAGGCCTTTGAAACAGGCCCTTCCTCACTTTATGTGTAGATATGTGCTTAAATGTCAGTTCTTCAGAAAGACCTTCCTTAACCATCTGCATACCAACTTAGCAGTAAGGTAGAGTTTAAGTAAATTAATTTTTTATGTTAATGCTGTATTCTGTACAGGTCTAATAATATTCTAATTTATTTTCTAACAGAGAAAAGACGAGACCCCCCAAATGGTAAGATTTTATAATTATTGACTAAACAGATTTTAAATTACAGTTTAATTCTTATAAAAGCGTGTACCATACATTAATACCTGGTATTTAGTAGCTGTGATCAAATACTATGGTTTCTTGTGTTCGTATTTTAAATTAGTGAATGACAGGTGAGACTTAGGAAACATACTGTTCCTTGTTTTGATTTTCCTCACTTGAAGGAAAAATACATAGGGTAAAGGTGACTAGTACTTAATTCTGTACTCACAAACTGGTCAAGTTTTGAAACCATACACTTTGTCTTAAAAATCTTTCCTATAGGTATTAAGGTTTATCTAGTGTATTTGTTCATTTCTTCCTTGAACATTTATTTTTTTTCTTACTTGAAGATACTTAACACCTGTTAGGTTATGTGACGCCCCCTTTAAAATGAAGGTGTGTTTAGAACTAATTGTAGCTGCACATAGCAGTGGAATGACTTTCAGATGTTCACTATAAGGTACACATTGGTTGGGTGTCTCATGCTTTACCTTCCCTGCTGCATTAGAGCATTAGAGACTCACCTCAAGTTCCAACTGAGGATGTGCGGCCTGGTCATTCAGAAGCACACTGAATGTAGTGCTCCTCCCACTCGAGCCTCTTAGTCAGAGTACTCATCCATCTTGAAATGTTTTTGCAGCTCATGATGTTGATCCTTGCTAAGGATCTTGACGTGGGGAGCCTGGAGCATTAGACAGTCCACAGGTCACCAGGCTCTTACATCCTGCTGTCTGCTCTGCTCTAATGCAAGAGCCTTTGCATTTGGTTTCAAATCTTTAGTTTTATAGTTTTAATCCTTTGATGTAGTGGTCCCAGACTTTTCTTTAAATAAGTAGTTTTTTTTTTTTTTAGATAGTATTAAAGTGCAAAGTACAATGGCCAATATTTTTATACTTCCTATTTATAAAAATATATAAAGTCAGTATTACATACATAATAAATAATGAAGTAAATAAGTATTAATAGAAGTTTTAATACTTTTTTCTTGCTCTTGCTCTCCAGCAAGTCTTGCCCTACCTCTGTGGAGACCACTGTTTTTGAGACTTTACTATTTTACTGCATGTGGGTCACCACCACTAGATGGCAGTGGGCACCGTACCCATGTCTGCAGTATCCATGCAGTTACCTTATCTCAGATCCTCATTTAGATTTCAGTTTACCAGACCTTTTCAAATTGAACTATTAAAAAGACACTTTATGTACAAGTTACATATATTCATAAAATGCAGTTTTGTTTCTTCACTAATTCTAGTTTCTTTATTGATCAGTCTGACATTTTAGCTTACATGTTTTTCAATGATTTGTTCTCACTTCTATGGCAACTTGAGGTCAGAGGTCTCAACTCACCTTGTTCAGAGTTCTGTGCTTTTAGTGTAATTAAAGCAAAACTTGAATTTGTTGTTTTAGATTTAAATTAACTAGAATCAAAGAACAAGAGGGTTGAACAGGTTCTGCCTGTATTGGCAGGGGAGGGGGACAAAACAGTATATACACATGTAAGTAAATGTAAAATTTAAAAATATATATAAAATTAACTAGAAATGTCTGCTGTTCACAGGAGTATTTTAAAACCTTTTCCTATAACTGTTGTCCTAATTTATCATTTGACTATAGTTTTTAAAAAGAAAGTCCCCTCCATTATTTAAGAATATCATCTTAGAATGTTTAATTTCATAAATGGAATAATTAAATGCAGCTTTGCTATAAATGACTTGAATATCTCTAGTACCAGATCTTGTCTAAAGTTTAAGGTGACTCTGCCTTATATGAGTTATCTTTTTCCTACTGTGTCACTTTTGGAACACATAAATAGGCTTTAGAACTATTTTAACTTTATAACCTATGTATAATATATATGTGACCTATTTAAGTAAGTTAATTGATCTGTAAAGACTACAGAGATCATGAAAGGCCTTTATAATTGCTTGGAAAATGCATAAGAATATATCCATTTTTAGTTTTGGAGGAAGAGACACAGTCTGACTACAGTATGATTTACATTATTGTTCATTCCACATATCACTTGTATTTTGTTTCTCTTCATTCTTGACAGCCAAGTTACCTTTGCTAGTGAGCTATGAATCAGCTTATGAGGATGTTCACTTATTTTTTAGAAAAGATTGTACTAATTTGAATAATTTTAACTATTAAACTTAATTTTGCCCAATTTTACCACTTTGGGCATTCGTAGGATAGTTGATTGCTTTTATATAAGCTAAAGCAGCATAAAATATTTTTGTTGTTTCTTCTTAAAAACTATGAGTAGTTTTTTGTTTTTATTTTTTAATGGCAAGTGGTCATTGCTTTTAGTTGCTCTTTGAATACCTATTTCATGAAAGATGACATGAATAAAAAGAACACTGAACTGTGATAATTATTAAGTTCTATTAAATATAATGGTCAGAGAATAAATAATAATTTGTAGCATCTTATTGTAATGTTGCTGATAATGATTGGTAAAGCTGTAAAAAGAGAAAGAGCAGAAACAGAAGAAAGAAAAGTAAAAAGAGGTCCCTAGATACAAGTGTGTCCTCATTTCACCCCTCTAAACCTCAAACTTTGGGTGGTCTGAATAAGTTCTATATTTTGTAGAATTACAGCAAATGCTGAAATCTGATACATGAACAGTTTTAAAAATCTGCATCTTTATCTGCTATCCATCAAACTTTCAGGTCATCCTATACTGCTCAACTAACCTTTGCTTCTTGAGATTCAGTGCCCAGGGTTTTTGCATAGGTATCTTCTGCCCAGCATACCATGATCCAGACTCCCACAAAGAAAGCAGGTATTCTGCTCACAGTTTAGGCACAGTACACCCACCCTATTAAGGAAGAGTGGGCCAGATGCCAAGTAAGGAGCACCTTGGCAAGCAAGCCTTTCTAGATGGCAGTCTCAACTTCCTGTGTTAAAACTCCTTACCTATAAATAAGTGGTGATTGTATTTCATATACATTTTGAAACTTGTCATTAATGTAATCTGAGGAACTTGGTCTGGGAGGAGGTTTTGTCAGAGAATTACATATTAAAATGGAATGTTTAATAAACATGTATTGATCATTAGTTCAATTTCTAAGAAAATTGTAATTGAATATATTGCATTGAGACTTTCATGCCTTTAAGATCAAGAATGTTTGGGGAAATTATAAGTCAAGTTGTATGCTACATCATTTAATGTCACTCCTGAAAATGCTGTTGATAATATTTGAAGGTGTCCAAGATATTTGTACCATTGATCCTTGCAGAAGAGTATTTTAAGAATTTTTCCATACTAAGTTTTTTAATTGTATAACTCTGTATATATACTTATGAAGAATATATTAGTGGACTTAAATCTAGCAGTTTTGGAAAAAATGGTAGTAATATTTTTGTAAGTACTTTCTGATTCATGGACTAATAAAGTTGAAACAAAGAGATAAGACTAGATTGCTTTGTTAAAGTCAAAACAAAGCAGACAGTTCTTTATCCTTGTTGCTATGTGTTGTAATGCACCATTTTATCAATAAGCACTGTGTTGTGTTAGAGGCTATTATAGTCAAAATTCAAGGGATGAGATTAATTAATTGTATAGACATTTATATGCTTCATGAGATTTAATGTTATAGAAATAAAAGTTTGATTTGAAATAATGCCTCTGCACTAAGGTATTTAAAATTTATTGTAGTCTTTAGAAATTTAGATACTACTTTATAAAACATGAATTTGTAGGCTTAAATTAAAATTTATAATAATGAAGTGACTTTTAAAAGACAGCATTTAAATCATAAGTTATGATTGTCAGTAATTGTTTTCTTAAATTATAATCCCTTTCATCCCTTTCACACCATTTTGGCCTTATTTTTAGGTCCTAATCTACCCATGGCTACAGTTGACATAAAAAATCCAGAAATTACAACAAATAGATTTTATGGTCCACAAGTCAATAATATCTCCCATACCAAAGAAAAGAAGAAAGGAAAAGCTAAAAAGAAGAGATTAACCAAGGCAGATATTGGAACACCAAGCAATTTCCAGTAAGACAGTTCTCTTGTACTTAAGTCTTTACCTGGTTTTGTTTTTGTTTTTGGAGACTGGTCTTGCTATATTACCCAGGTTGGCCTCTTAACTTCCTATCTTCCTGCTTCATCCTCCCAAGTAGGTAGGATTTCAGGCATGTGCCTTTGCATGTGGCCTTATCTTTTTTTGGGGTTACTGAGATTTAAACTCAGGGCTGTGTGCTTGCTAGGTAGGAGCGCTACCACTTGAGCCACATGCCTCCATCCAGCTCCTTATTTTCACTTTTAATTTATTCATTGCTGTCCTTGATTTTTGATTTTTTAGAAAATTTTACTTTCTTTTTGGAAATGCATGTATACATTTATCACTTTTTAAAAGGCTATAGATTTTGGTGGAGTTTTTGTTTTGTTTTTTAAGGCAGTTGCTCAGTGGATGTTCTATAAATCTTGGTTTTTTGAGAGAGGGTCTTGCTGTGTAGCTGAGGCTAGCACCAAACTCTCGATCCTCCTTCCTCAGCTTCCTACCGCTGGAATCATAAGTGTGTGCAGTCATGCCCAGCTTGTTCTGTAAATCTTACGGTTTCCTTCCATTAGAAAAGAAAAATTAGATAAAATTGTTTATTAAAATAATTTTTGAATATAAAAATAATATTTGGAAATTGTATACAGGCATTGTCTAGAGGCAAAAAACAAAAGCCTGTGGGATTCATATATTTTAAATTTTTTCATATGCATTATTTCATTATCTTATTGTAAAGCTCCTGTCCTCTTCAAAATAACACCTAGTATTCTTCTCCTAACTTGACAGTTAAAAGAGCTAGATGTTTAGAGAGATTGTGCAAAAAATGTTGAGATTCAGTTAGTAGCAGGTCTAGTGCTAGAATTCTGGTCTCCTTACCCCTTATCTATATATATGTTTTCTCACAATGTGTTACGAGAACTATTCAGGTCCAAATCTTAAAGGATAAACTGGGTTTTATGCATACTATGTTTTTTTAAATGCCCCAAATGGATATTATTATTCTATTATTTTCTACTCTGTACTTTAGGCACATTGGACATGTTGGTTGGGATCCAAATACAGGCTTTGATGTAAGTATATTTTCATGTTATGTTCATTATTACCCAAAGTATGGAGGAATTTAATGGCTTATCTTTACATTTTTTTTTTTTATTACTCATTTTGGGGATCCTAGAGTGTATATGAATGTGCTTATATTTATGCATATTTGAAGTTTAAGACCATAGTATTATTCTGTCATTTTAAAGACAAGGTTTTGTATTCTTTGACTGTATGTAGTCAATGATCTCTCATGCTTTGAAAGCCAAAAGAAGAAAATTATTTTTGCTAAGTAATAATTTAATTAAAAGTAGTATAGTCAATTTCTGAATATCTAGGTGTGTAGTATTATCTAGAGTTTCTCTTCCTATTGTTATTATTTTTCTATTGTTGTGCTGTGTGGGGTACATTGTGGCATTTACAGAGTTCTTACAGTACACCAAATATATCATACTTGCCTATTATTATTTTTTGGTACTTTAATCGTTCACTATTTTAGGATACTCTGAGAGTAAGGTAAGTGAAACTGCTGACTTAACCAGGGTTTGGATAATTATTTTGAGGACAAATATATTTGTGATTGGCATTAACAATCCTTTTGGTTATATTATAATAAAGCATATTGTATACATCTTTCTGTTGGCTGATATACAAGACACTTGGAGTAATAGACTTGCCCTCAAATTTTTGAATTGATTTTTTTTTTTGTGTGCATTCATTCATGATTACAACTAAATCTTATTTAAGCAAAGTAGAATAAACATAGGAGATACCTGAGATATGAATAGGTTAATAGAAGTCTAAATAAGGTTCTCTCTTTGAAGATGGGAGGAAGAGATGAGATAAAATAGAAAATCTCTCTTTGGTCTGTTCAGGCTTTTTATAAGAAAATTTAGTGCTTGCATTTAAATAATGTAACCATTTAAAAAGTTTAGAAACTTAATTTCATAAGAACACATATGAGTATTAGATGCTATCATGATTGGAACAGATTTTTATAACTAGTTATTTTATCTGTTATAGCTAAATAATTTGGATCCAGAATTGAAGAATCTTTTTGATATGTGTGGAATCTCAGAGGCCCAACTTAAAGACAGAGAAACATCAAAAGTTATATATGACTTTATTGAAAAAACAGGAGGTGTTGAAGCTGTTAAAAATGAACTGCGAAGGCAAGGTAACTTTTATTCTGTTCAGACATTTTGCTTATGTTTTGGTTTTTTCAAATTTTTCCTTTATTGTTTATTTTTACTTATTTATTTCATGATACTGGGGATAGAACCGAGGACCTTGTGGATTCTAGGCAAGCCTTCTACCACTACCCATCCCTAAGATCATTTGCATGGCAGACACCTACTTGCATTCATTCCTAAGATCATTTGCATGGCAGACACCTACTTGCATTCATTCAATTCCTAACCTATGCAGAATGCTTGAACATATGGAGAACTCACTTGGTGCAGCATGCTCTGTCTATAATTATTTTGGTATAACTTAAAAAACTTGATTTTATTTATTGCTTTCATTGTTTTAAAAAGTTTTATATTAAATTCATGAAAATTCATTTTAAATCTTCCATCTAGTCTGTTTTAGAACAAAAAGTTTTAGTTCCCTACATATTCCACTTAATCCTAGAAACCAAGTCATTTTCATTATAACTCAGAAATAGTAATTTAAATATAACAACTGTATAATTGGTAATATAAGCATTTTCACAATATAAATAATGTACACCTTTACTAGTTTTTATTAATTTTGAAATGCAAACTTATTTTTGGATAAAGCATAAAATTTGCTTTGGGATGAAAGCACAAATGATTTGCAGCCTTTTAAGATTTGATATTTCATTTAAAGTACCTTGTGATTTAGTTGTGTCTTCATAATTATGACAATAAAGTGACTCCTAAATTTTTCAGTCTGTAATGCCTCCAGCATTGAAAAATAGGCAAAGTGTGTGTGTTGGGAGTGGTACTAGTTGGAAGGTGGAGGGTGAAGGAAGGAGAATTAAAGTGATGGTATATGGTTGATGGACTTCAAATACCTATATGAAACAGAACTAAGTGAACTTTTGCAAATGTTTTAAGTGGGGTGGGAGGGGGCTGAGGGGAAGAGATGGGGGGGTAATGTAAATAGTGTACAATATAAATCTAATTGGAATTGTTACTATGAATCCCCCTGCATAATGAATATTTCCTAATAAAAAATTTATTTAAAAAGATAAAATTAGCAGACAAAAATTTTTTTCAGTCCATTAGTCATCTCTGCATGTTATTCATTTGGGACTGATGTTCTTCTTATTTTTTAAATATTCATAACAGTATAGCAGAGCAAAAGCACCACACAAAGTATTCTTAATTTGATTGTCATTTTAAAGTAGATATTTGACTTATCTTTGTCTTTTTCACTACTGCTGATTGATTGTGATTCATTCATTCATATATTCAGTAAGCATTATTATTGCAGCACTGATCTCAAAATATTTAGATATGGCTTGTGCCCTTGAAGACTAACAGTCTGCTATGGAAACAGATACATAAACAAGTATAAGGTTATATTACTGTTGCATGATGCTAATTTATTTTATTTTGCACACAAATTCCTTTTAAAATTCCGTGGATTTTTAAAAACACATCTTGGCACAGCACTGTTTTTAAATGCTCTTGAACCAGTCACAGTCACTTTAATCTGCAGATGTGGAGGTCCTGGAGAACCTTAATAACAGTGTTCCTCCATGCTCCTTTTCTCTGCTCTTACCACCCATTATACCATAATACTAGTGACACTCAGGGTCTTTGAATTTACAAGTTACTGTTGACATTATTGCACCATCCATACTGTTGCCTTTTTACCTTAATATCTGTAAACAAAAGTGGGTTGAGGTTTTTTTTTTTTAAACTTTATTATTACTTTGTTTTACTTGC